AGACTTACAATCAATTTAATTTTATTACCAACACGACCGGTTTTGCTTTTTACACTTTGCAAAGCATCTTCAGGTCAAACGGTAGCAAGTTTCAACGATCAGCTTTTAATTTACTTGGTACCGTTTGAGCTGAAGATGCTTTGCAAAATGTAGAAAGCGAAACCGGTCGTTTTGGTAGTAAAATTAAATTGATTGTAAGTCTTATTTTATTTCTTTTTACCTATTTTAATCCTATTTCGTTGAACGTCGTCTTTTGGATTTTCGCTTGGTACTAGATTTGTCATGTATTGTCATCATCATCATCATTGGCTTTTACAACTCTTCGTGAGTTTTTGCCGCGTTTACTATTGCCTTCCATTGATTCCGATCCTGTGCTATTATTTCCCATGGCCTTACTTCCATCTTCTCCAGGTCTTCCCTGACTGCGTCTTTCCATCTTTTTCTAGGTCTTCCTGTCGATCTTTTACCATCTGGTCTTTCCCAAAACACATTGCTAATCAGTCTGTCGTCATCACTCCGTACCACGTGGCCTGCCCATCTTAATCTATTGGATTTTATATATCTTACGATGTTTCCTTTCCAGAAGAGAGTCTCTATTTCATTGTTGTATCTGCTCCTCCATTCATTTGTCACGCTGTCCCTGCAAGGACCATATATAATTCGCAGGATTTTGCGTTCCCATACTAATAGCTTATTGATTTCTTTCTTTCTCAATGTCCATGTTTCACTTCCATATGCCACTGCTGGTCGTATTATGGTTTTGTACATTTGGATTTTGGCACGCCTTGAGAGAAGCTTTGACCTCATTAGATGTTGAATGGCAAAGAATGATTTATTCCCCGCCAGTATTCGTATTTCAACCTCCCGTTCTCCTGTGTTTTCACTGGTGATTGTTGCTCCTAGGTATTTGAGTTCTTTGACCACCTCAAAATTATGATCGTTTATGGTAATGTTTTGTCTTATTCGCTGTCGTTCCTTTTTTGATACGACCTTGTATTTAGTTTTTTCTTCGTTTATTTTCAGGCCTACGCTTAGTGTTGGTTCTACAGAGTTCGATACTATATCCTTAACTTCCAGTGGTGTCTGTGCTACTGAATCTACATCATCTGCAAATGGGAGAATAATCTTTGCTCCTCTAGCAGTTATGTCTGGTTTGACTCTGGTATAGATTTTTTGCATTGCGTATTCCAATGCTAGGTTAAATAGTAATGGGGACAGCGGGTCTCCCTGTCTGAGCCCGGTGCTTATGCCGAAAGCCTTTGAAGTTTTGCCTCCTATTCTAATTTGTGCAAAGGAATTGTTGACACACACTCGCGCAATCATGGTCAGCTTCTTTGGTACGCCTAACTCCATCATTGCACTCCACAGTTTTAAGCGATCTATGGAATCATATGCTATTTGAAATCTATGAAGATCTGGTGTACTTCTTTATTATATTCCCAATACTTTTCTAGCATTTGTCTGATAGTAAATATTTGGTCGATTGTTGATCTTCCAGGTCTAAAGCCGCATTGGTAATCGCCAATAATTTCCTCTGTATATGGCAGTAATCGTTTTAGTACAACTGAAGCTAATATCTTATATGTAGTACCGATTAGTGAGATTCCCCTGTAGTTGCCACATGTATCCTTTTTGCCTTTTTTATGTATTGGCACGATAATACAGCCACTCCATTCTTTTGGCATTATTTCTTGTTCCCAGGCTTCTTTCATTAATTGGTGTATTTTAGTTCTAAGTTCATGCCCTCCTTTTTTAATCAGTTCTGCATCAATATTGTCTAGTCCCGGGGATTTGTCATTTTTTAGGGTTTCTCTCGCCGTGATAATTTCTTCCAGGCTTGGCGGGGGTACTTCTATCTCGGCCGTTTGGTACTCACAATTTGCTTTATTTCCATCTGCGTCTACCTGGACATTTAGAAGACTTTCTTTCGATTATCTTTCGATTATTTTATTTTCAGCTGTAATCATTTGCTCATTTTATCTCCCACAAAGTTCGGTGTTCGTATATATGCACCTTTCTTATGTTGTCTTACTTCTTTGTAGAATTTTTTATTTTGCTTGCTTCTGTGTTCACGTTCTACTTTTTCAATTTGTTGTTGTAAATGTTGTCTCTTTTTTCTCCTTACTGTTCTTCTGGCTAAGGCTCTCTCTCTATTGTATTGTTCACGCTTTTCATCCGTCCGGTTTGCTAGGTAGTCGATTCTTCTTTTGTTTGCTTCTTTTAAGGTATACTCGCATTCTTCATCAAACCATTTTTTTCTTTTTGTTTTTCTCTTCCGACCTATACACTTCTCTGCTGTTTCTGTAATGATCGTTTTAATGGAGTGCCATTTCTGGTCTATATTTTCTGTTTGTATTGTGTCTTTCCAAAATTTATATTCAAACCAACTTCTTTACAGGCGGCATAGTTTCAGTAAGCATAGTTCCAATCTCTTTTAAGTTATTTGTTATCAGAACAATGTTAATGTATTTCTTTTCATTTTTTTCAGTTCGTTCCTTCTTTCGTCTGTTGATATGTCAGGATGTTTTATTACTTCAAGTTTTAAGGACCAAAAACTGATCTTTTCAACCAATGTAACTCAGAAACAATTGCTTTCCGAGTCTTGGGCCAATGATAACTTTTGATCAGGGGGACCAAAGCTAACTGCAAAGTTTCAGCCAATTTAACCGAAACCACTTTTACATAAGAAAAGTGCGGGGGTCCTTTGCGTAAAGTTTTATTTTTTTGTTAGCAAAGAGTTGTGCAATGGGTGTTGTTATATCCGATTTGGAAATGCATGATAGCAAAGTTGTATGGCAAAATATTACAATATTCTTTAAACAGGACAGTTACTTTCTTGACTCACCTTTCATACATATATGAAATATGTACTAGAATTTATAAAAATAATATGATCACGTTTCTTTTCTTACATGATGCATCAACCACGCAGGGTTATTAGCGTGTATGGATTGTGTTACAAAATTAGAACTTAATACTAGAATATTAACAATAGATAATTAGAAAAATCTATAATGAGTAAAATACTAGATTTTTGATAAAAGCTTGGAGTCTTTGAGAAATGCGAAATATTTTTTGTATTACTGAATCCGAAGAATTTTATTTCCTATTCGGGTGTATCTACTTTTAATTTTTCGATCATTTAGTTTAGGGTATATTTTTTTCAGTAGATCTGCGATTTCAGAAATTTCATTGGTATACATTCTTGCAATGCTTAGTGGGTCTGAAGGTCCCGTATTGTTTTCGACGAAATCTATTAGTTGTTCATAGTCTAAAGTCTAAGGGATAACTGGAATTTTGGTGTCTAAATAATTCTTCTGTTGGTTTCAGCATTTCCTCTAGCGTCTTTTTTGGTTTCTTGTCTTGTTTAAGTTAGTCTTTTTCTCTTTGTTTTTTGGCAATTTGGGGACAGTGTAGAACGCTCGGAGACTGCGTTTTTGTCGTACTGGATCTGTTTCTTTTTGGTTATATAGGAGTTTTGTGCTTAGTGTTTCATGTTTCACAGCTTGTTCGCTTAGTTGGGTTTACTTGGATGACCGTTGGATGTCACTAGTTGTTTCTTTAGTCACCTGATTATTACTATTTTTTAGATATTGAAGTTATGTCGCCTGATACAGATACCTTTACTGAACAGTATTATGTTAAATGCTTGGTATTTTTGCATATTTGACAAGTCTGATTTTCTAAAGATAAGTATATTCTATATGATGTCTCCTATAAGTGATAACGAAAGAATCGGGTAAGGTACGTTTGGTTAAAGGGGATATGTAGATTTGCCGCTTGAAGCTTAATATATGCTGGAATTCAGGACTTGATGTTCCTATACCTAGAAACGATAGGGGTGACAACAGGTTGACACCAAGTACTTGCAATTCAGATTCTAAGATTAAGTGTGGAATAGACAAATACGCGTTAAAGAGTACTAGTCGTTGGCTGGGAGTGATTAGTCCACGTGCATGTAGGAGTTGTTGATTAATTTTGATTTTTCCGTAGTTGGTATCAACCAATCAATAAAATCAACCACTAATTTTTTTTGCTAAATAAATGTATATTCCGTTGAATAGCCGTGAACAGAAAATAATATTGATTGTTCGAATTATTAGGCTTAAACTGTCAAGGAAGTCGTTAATTTTGGTATTGTAGATTGCATCAAGTACGATTGCTTGATTTTTTAGTTGAAAAACATTAGCAGTTGGTTGTCTGGTTACGGAAGAGTGACTTTTAGATTGTAGAGATTGTTGGTCTGGTGCAGAACTAGGTTGAGTTGACGTAGATGAGGATGCCATGATGTGTTTACTAATATTTTGTACGTCAAAATATTAATTTTAGGGCTAGAAAATACTGGTCCATTTATTTTGTTGTAGATATATATTTAAATGAAGCTTAAGGTCGATTCAGACACATCAGTCACGTCTCGTCACAGTGATTGCGCCGAACCGAACAATCCGTCATACAAAATATTCTTTAATACAAATATGTTGCCGGCATTCACACTCATCAGTTGACAAACAGTTTCCCAGCTGTCAGATAGTTGATAGTTCTGTGACCAAACAGGTTCGACGCCGAGACTATGACGGGACTGATGTGTCTGAATCGACCTTTACTCGTTGACTGTTCTGATGACTCTCAATATGAACACTTTGACAAACCTAGAAATCTAGAAGCCTTAAGAGTTTAAACAAGAATTGTACGCTTTAGTGACGACTGACGGGGAACATCAGCTTACTTTACCATAGAGAAATAGTCTATGTTTAATTTCAATGTAAAACTAGGATTTATTTTACCCAATAGATATTTTGATTTTCTGATGGGATGTATTGTCGGTTAGAAAGGGTTAAGTAACTAATTTCTAAGTAACATTGTTTTTTAAAGTCTACATTGACTAGTGTTCCATGGTTACAAATTAAAAACTAGAACATACTTATTGTTTCTTCACAAAATTTCTGATGGTACTTACATTATTATTATAATGATTAGGAAGTTCTAATAATTATTTTTAGTTTTAGCTCAAAGAGGATATTTTAAAGACAGTACCTTTGTCAACTATTTAAAGTACCTCTTGTACTGGAAGGAGCCTGAATATGCAAAATATCTCAAATATCCAATGTGTTTATATTTTTTGGACTTACTTCAGTATGAACATTTCCGAAGAGAGTTAGTGAATGCACAGTGTTCTAAGTTTATCGACGACCAACAGATTCTACTATGGCAACATTATACTAGAAGGAGAAGCAGATTATTGACAACACCAGTTGCCAACGGTAATATGGAACAAAATAGTGGAAACCAAAACAATCAGAGTAATGGACATATGAACTCTAAAATATCTTAAAAATTTAAATGTAGGTGTATTTTTAAATATAGGATAATATATTGTTAGAACTGCTTTTTAATGTACCTATTTTTTACTGGGATTAAATTGTGATCCAAAAATAATAAATTGATAAAGTATTATGAAATATTGTATTTTATTACATTATTTTTGTAATGTTCATGTACTTATTTTTTAATTTGAAGAAAAAATGCTGTTACCCTTTTCGCTACTTGCTATACGTTTTACATGATTCGACTTCTGGTGGACAAAGAATGTATAAGTACACTTTGATGCCTTTAAGGTTTGTACTTATTTCTGTTTTTTTTTTCAAAAACTCAATATTACTGTTGTATTAAAAGAATTGTTTACGTGAAATTCATTACTTTTATCTACAAACTAAGTATATTGACTTATGAGCTTTTAAAATGTTCTTTGTTGCAGTAGTATATGCATATATCTCTTGTACTACAAAAATCCATGTCTGAAGTTCTTCAGAAAAGATAACTATGACCAGGGACGTGCATGGCAATTTTTTTGATACAAACGGAGTGATTTAAAAGTATTTAAATTCATTTTATTTTGACAGTTTGATACATAGCAATAGTAATTTTCACTTTTATAAACTGCGCGCCAAAATTAAGGCATAATTTTAAAATTACAATTTCAGTAATAATGAAAGAATTTTGTTTGTTCTTTTGTTCTTTAGGGATGCTTTTAGAACATCTGAAATAAATAACTTCTTTTTTTTAAGAAAAATGTTTTGCAATAAAACTACCTAACATCATAAATAAATGACGGAATTAAAAATTTTTCAAAAAATTGAGAAGTTCAAGAAAATTAAACTAGTATTAAGTGTTGCCTCCCCTGGCACTTATTACTGCTTGACAATGATCTCTCATACTGAAAATTACCGTTCATATTTCTTCTTGATCAATTGGATCCCAAATTTCAACTAATCGCAACAGTTAATCTAATGTGTTTGGTGTCTTAGGTAGTTATGGTAGTCGTTTTCCTACGATGTACCAAACATGTTTTATTGGGTTGAGGTTTGGACTTCTCGCAATCCAAACCATGGAAGGAATTCCAACTTCCTGACGATATTGCTGCACAATTATTGTAATGTGTGGCCCGACTTTATTTTGCATGAGCATACAATTATCCCCAATAAATGGTGCAAATAGCAAGACTGGTCTTTCAAAATGTCTGTAATATACAGCTAGTTCCTAAAAAATTGATACCACTCACAGTAAGATTTGATCATTTTGAGCAGTGTATTTGGTTGGTGTGACATTATATTATGACAAATAATAAAATAAACAAACAATTGATTACATATGTTAATTCATAAATTGTAGTTATTATTAAGGTCTAAATTTTGATATTATTCTAAATTCCTGCATTTTATAATGAGTATATAAATAATAGTTTATATATATATATATATATATATATATATATATATATAAAATAGGGTTGTTATTATTTTATTATTATTCAGGAATAAAACAAACGACTTAACTGAATATATTAAAGCAAGAATTGTAATCAAACTAAAGGATAACTGGGCACTATCAGAGGCAGCAAAACATTTTAACATAAGCAAAAGCAGTTTTTCTATTAATAAAAAATGGAGGGAACACGAAACTCTCGAAAGAAAGCGGGGATATGGAAGACCAAAACTATACTAAATTTAGGTATGTTAAATAAAATATTATATAATAATAATAATAAACTACACTCTGTGTGAGTTTTTTGTCAGTTTTTCTATCAGGGGCGACCCCCTGCGAATGGGGGATGGTCTCTGGGTATCCGTAGCGCAGATACTCAGAGGGTAGCAGGGATACCTGCCTTGGAACAAAAACTGACACCTGGCAGAAGGTTTAAAATGCACACCCATGGTAATGGAGTATGGCACTTCTGGAGCCGGCGCTGTACGTAACAGCAAGCGAGACGTCGGTGGCAGGGTGTTGAGGACGCGGGCCCCTGTCATGCAATCAGCTCCAGTCCAACAAGAACAACAACCACAAGCGAGCGAAACAACAAGAGCTCCACTTGCTGAAGGTGCTGCGCTGGAACATCAGTCGGCGCTCACTCAAGCGGGACGACCGAGGCAGCGCATGAAACGGACTGTGTCCATGACTGAAAATATTTTGCGCTTTTATTATAAGATGACAAACCTCGGTCAAGAAACGATCGGCTATCGACAAAATCTGTATGCCGAATTTTGAAGAGTATCCAGAAATGCAAGTATCTGAACAAAGAGTATCAGATCAATACCGGGTAATTATCAGAAATAATCTCATCCCAGAGACTAGACGCAATATAATCAGAAGCGAAGTCGAACGGGAGATTCATAATCAAGAGGTAGTTGGAAATCAAGCCCTTAATGAAATACAAGAGCCAAGTCCCGAGGTTGTCATACAAGAACATGAAACTCAACCTGATAATACATAGCAGGATAACGAGTTGCGCGATAGCCTAGTCAACGAAATGGCACGCACCGTACAAGAGTTTAATGGAACAAACCCACTTAGCAGACCACCGCTACCAAGAGTAAACTCTTGTAAGAAACTAGGTGTGCTGTTAGAAATTGTAAACACTGAAGTCCTGCCAATTATGTCGTAGAAGCCCATACATTGGAATATATTCACACGCTGATTTACTGTGCAGCAATAGCAATTGCTAATATTATGGGCGAGAATTTATTAAGATCAGAACACGACGGAGTACTAATATCGGAAGGACACATAACAGAGTTGCATCTTGGGAAAAACGGCTGCTAACGAACATTGACTCATTACGTAGGGACATTGGTCAAATCACGGAATATGTTCGAGGAACAACAAGTAGAAAAGTAAACAGAAGAGCTGAAGAAATAATGCTAACCACCGCAAGACCCAATATAATCCAGAAAACAACACAGCACAACAGTGCCTGGATACATTAAAACAAAAACTTTCCGTTTACTCAGGCCGACTAAGGAGGTACAAAATTAGTAACAAACGAAAATCCGACAATATGCTTTTTGAAAATGCCGAGAAGGCGTTCTATCGAAAACTCAATTCTACTGCAGAAAGTGCCAATAAATCTTACTCAAGTCGAGAAGAAATCCACGAGTTTTGGGGAATCAACTTTCCACAACAGCTGCTCTTAACACCAATGCTGGATGAATCGAAGATACTGCGCACAACTGCCAACACTACGTTACTGCTCCCTACGAACCCTTCACCACTGAAGACGTTTCGAATATTGTCAAAGAGCTTCATAACTGGAAATCTCCTGGACCAGATGGCGTTCAGAACTTCTGACTTAAGAAGTTCTGAAGTATTCATGAGTGCTTATCAACAGTAATTAATAACACTATTTCTAATCCGTAGAAAATACCATCTTTCCTAACCCAGGAAACACCTTATTTATTCCCATAGATCAAAATAACACCCAAGATCCAACCAAGTACCGCTCAATTACTTACCTTCCAACTCTGTATAAATTGGTCACATCCTGTGTAGCCCGGCGTATCAACCAACACTGTGCTCTAAACAATATTATAGAGCCTCAACAGAAAGGATGCGCTAAGGGTTCCATGGGCTGCAAAGAACAACTTATTATCGACTGTCATTTCTAGCCAAGCACATAGCAAAAAACGAAATCTCTACTGCTTTCATCGACTATAAGAAAGCGTTTGAGTCAGTACCGCATGAATGGCTTATAGATATATTAAAAATATATAAAGCCGATAATAACATAGTGACCTTTTTAAAACACATAATGTCAGATTGGAAGACAAAAATTCACCTCCAAATACCTAGTGAAAACAATATCGAAACTGAAAATATTGCAATCAACCGGGGCCTTTTGCAGGGTCTGGTTCTGTTTAGCGATGAACCCAATATATCTACTATTGAACTCCACTGACTCAGGTTTTAGAATAAAAAATAACACTACTGTTGTGGCCAAGATTAATCATTTGTTGTATATGGATGATTTGAAATTAATGACTTCCACTCGAAACCACTTAGATCAGCTGCTAAAAACTGTAGAAAATTTTTCAAATGATATTAGTATGCACTTCGGTCTTGACAAGAGCCGTGTCTTAAATATAATCAAAGGAAAGGTTCAGTCCGGCGGATTCGATATGCAAAACGGTCAGAACATCGAGGCCATGGGTGAAAATGATATGTATAAATACCTCTGAATAAAGCAAGCGCGAAAGATTGACCATAAGCAAATGAAAACTGAGATAACTACTGAGTTTATACGAAGGGTAAAACAGCTGCTTCATTCACAGCTTCACAGTAAAAATGTGTTTAAGGCACTGAACACCTACGCATGTTCCGCGCTTAGCTACTCATTTGGTATTGTTAAGTGGACAAAAACGGATATAGAAAATCTTCAGCGAAAAGTACGAACACACCTCACAAAGGTACAAAAACACCATCCTCGAAGTGCAGTAGAAAGAACGACATTACCGCGGTATTTAGTAGGACGAGGACTTATGGATATAAGCGAACAATTAGTAAAACAGATTACTGATTTAAGAACTTATTTTCAGGTGCAGGCGGAAATATCTACTCTTCATCTCGCGATTTGTGCAGTAGTTGACACAACACCGATCAAACTGAGGGAATCAGAAATGTGCATATACTATCTCACTAAGGACGAAAAAATGCGCCCCTGGATGGGTAAACTTCTGCATGGGCGACATCCCAATGAGGTCAGTCAAGACCATGTCGACAATATAGCGTCGAACTATTGGCTGACATCAGGAAAGATGTTCCCTGAAACTACTACAGGAGGTTCACTACTGGTCATTCAGGATCAGGTTGTACCAACCAAAAATTAGGTCCAAAATGACAAATGCCGATATGGATGCCAAGCTCAGGAAACCATCCAACATCTTACCGGGGGCTGTCAGGAATTTGCTGCAACTGAATATACGGAACAGTACGACTCAGTAGACAAGATCCTTCATAGAGATAGCTATCAAACTGGGACTTCTTCAAACAAACCATCTACCATATTATCAATACGTTCCTGAGAGTCCCACTACTGGAGTCATTTCAAAGAACCTCCTAGAAAACATAAAAAAGTTTGGTTTGAATGAACATCTCTACAAGACCATGCAGAAAGCTG